AGAGAGATCAGATGAATTCAATGATTCCACAATTCCACTAGATCATGTACTTGGCGTCACGACGTTACCGCTTAGCTCCGTTAGAGCATGCAATAACGAAGAAACAATTACGCGTTTAGAGCGCGCTTTTGACTCTTTACAATTGCTGATTGGCGAGCTGATTGGCTATATACGAGAGAGGCAAAAAGACGAGCGACTGCTCCACCGGTGAATTCGATCGCGAAACATTACGCAATAACAAGGTGACACCTTAGGGGGCCGTCGTTCTCTACATTTCCTCACCACACCTGAAATGCACGTGTTTTCAGTATTTATGGTAAATTTTGGGCACTTTGTGACATTTCACTTCACCCTCAGATCATTTACAATAATTAATAATTTATGTTACACACTTACAACATTTCTAGTGAGTCTCTGTCTCAACATTGAACAATATACACCTGTATGTGTGTCTGCTTATGCGTCGTGTTAATTTGTATGCCGCGTGAGGGTGTGGTGTACATGTATCTGTGTGCGCGCGCGCGCGCGCGTGTGTGTTTGTATGTGTGTGTAGAGGCGTGTACGTACAGTGCGCACACGAGAGAGACGCCAACATAGAGACACGTGCGCCGTGACATGTGTATACGTAATATACACGCGAACGAATCGTCTAAGAAAGAACCACTAATTACTGTATTATACAATTATCATTAATTATCACCTAACTTGGCATCCTTGCGGGAGCGGTGCGGGCGGACAGCCTGACGAGCTGTGATTCGCGGACTGAGGCAGCAATGGGATATCGTTCTCTTTGGAAGATTGCTTCTCCGGTACTCCGTGTTGCTGCTGCTGCTCCTCCGGTCTCATCTCCGCGGCGGCGGTGGTTGCCACGGCGACGCCGGCGTCGGCGGCCGGCAAGCGTTCCACTGCCGCTGCCTCCTGACTCACTGCGCCGACCGACAACTGCGTCACCGAGTTCACCACCGTCGCCGACGTCGCACTACTACTTTTACTACTACCACCACTACCATCGTCCACACTCGCGTTACTCGCCACTGGATCCTTCAGTTCATAGCCCTCCTGGCAGCGGGTCAGTTTTAACCGGATCGGCGTGACCTTCGCCGAACGGACGTTCCTCAGAGCAGTGGCGCCGGCGTTTGGCTCCGTCGGCTGCTTCTCGTCGACGCCGCCCTCCATCGGGTAGACCACCTCCTCCTTGGAAGGCTCCGGTGGCGGCGGACCCACTCGACTGTCCTTGTCCGTTGATCCTTGCTGATTATCGTTCTCGTCACCGGCGGGCGCGAGCAAAACCGCCGTAGGCAAGTCGCTCGCTGCCTCAACTGTCGCCGAAGAGGTGCTGGTCGAGTTGGCGCCCGACTTACCCAACCGAATAATCAGTTTGGGCGCGTCACCCTCCAGGATCTGTACTCTGGCCTCCTTCTTGTTGTACTGCCGCCTCTTTCGCTTGCCGTTCTTGTCGCGCTTGCTCTTCGCCTTGGTCTTTTCGTCGTTGTCGAAGCCCGCCATGATCATCTTGCGGAACTTCATGCTCTCGCGACGCAACTCCTCCATGCTGGGCGCGCTGCTGGGGATACTGCTAAGCCGCTTCTTCGGCGGCCTGATCCTGCTGCAATCGTCTTGTGCGTTACCTACCTCTTGCCCGCCGATTATACTGTTACCGATCTTGATCTTCAGCTTCGGATGCGCGCTGTTCGTCACCGTAGTAGCGGTTGGCCTGGCTTGACGGCCTCTGCGGCGGTCGACCGTGCCGACTATGAGACCGCGTCTCCTGTCGGAGATGCCCTCCTCCTCGGTGGCGGTAGCAACCTCAAGGAAACCACTGGTGCTGCCACCACCGCAGCCGACGACGCCGCCGACGTTACCGCCGCCGCCGCTGCCACTACTGCCACCGCCGCTACCGCCACCACTGCCGCCGCCGCGTTCTTTCCGTCGTTTCTTCTCCATATTCGCGTCGACGACTGCCTTGTAGTCCTCCCGAGTCGGTATACTGGTCATGGACGCCACGGCCTTGGGGATGGTGATGACCGTGCGTTGGCCGTGGTTGATTGGCTGCATGTTGATGGGCGCGGAGGTGACGTTCTCGCGTGTCGGGTCGTCCATGTTCATATCCTGTGAACAGTACTGTCTCAGCAGCTCCTTCTTTCGCATACGCCGTAGATTCGACGTGCCAGATGCCACGGCCGCGGTGTTGGCGGCCGGGGTGATGATCACCGGCGCTTGCTGCGCCAACGGAGGCACCGATGACGCTGCGACGTAGTTCGCGTCGAGGAATGGGCCTTTGATCTTCACCTTCAGCTGGTTTCTCGAGTCCGTCAGAGAGACTTTGTTCGCGTCGTTGAAGCTAGACGCAGCGGACGGGTCTATCGCCGACGGATCCGCGAATTCCGGCTTCATGCACGTGCATTCTAAGCCGTCGCTCGCGATAGTAAGCTGTTGCTTGCCGGTAGTCTTCTTCAGCACAGAGTGCAGCTCGCTTTCAAAGTCCTCCATGTCCTGTAGATTTGGGTCCGTGGATACACCCGCAGCAAATGAGCCCAACAGATGGTTGCCGTACGACTGGCCATGTACAGACGAGCTCGGTTGGTCCACTGTTGAGTTGTACGTGCGCATATCCACTGGGCCCGGCAACAGAGGCATTACCGTGTCAGCGAATGTCGGTCCGGCATTTGTGTCAGATTTGGTAAGTGCGGTCTGGTCGTGCGTCGCCGGCGACGACAGTTTCTTATCGTCCGTGTACTTCTTGTGCAGCGTAGGGCTGGACAAGTGAGACTGGATGGCGTCGTTCGCCATGCCGAGCGGCTCACCGCGCTTTTCGTTCACGTCGGTAGACTTCTTGCGCTCGCGCATCATCCGCAAGTCCGCGATGTTGGTCTCGTTCGCGGAGTCCTCGTCCGAATCGAAGTCGTACACGGTGCCGACTAGCTTGTTCTGGATCGAGTCGTCGTTGTGTAACGCGTTCGACACCATGGGTACCATCGCAATGGAGCTCTGGCTGCCTCTGCCGCGTCTACCTCGGCCGCGACCGCGGCCTCGATAGTTGGACTGTTGGTTGCCTTTGGCACCTCTGCCGCGGCCACGAGCACTCGGTACAGTCTTGGTGGTCTCTTGCCGCGGCGACTTGCCTGGTGACTTGCCTTGCAACGACGTCACCCTGGCCGAGGTCCTAGTTGGCTTAGCGGGTGACTTCTTACCGGACGGTGCGCTCTTGTTGTCTGTAAGTACTTCCGGTAGGTTATCTACAGCGGTCTCGCTCACCTGCGTCTCCGGAATGGCGTTGAGGAAGGATGCGGGTACAGCGGGAGAATTGACCTGCTGAGACAATAATGGCGTATGACCCTGCGGTGTCTCAGACGGTTGCAACTGCGGCGGTGGTGGCGGTGCTTGCTGCTGCTGCACCTGCTGCTGCTGCTGCTGCTGCTGCTGCTGCTGCGTCACCGAAGGCTGCTGTGGCACCGATGGTTGCTGGGGAGGCTGCGGCGGTGGCGGCGTGGGAACCTTCGTCGGCGATACCATGGCAGCGGTAAGTGCCATGTTATGCGACGACGAGGTAAACGCCGCGGTGCACGGAGATGCCTGCATATTGAGCGACTCCTCCAGCGGCTTCGGTACATGTGGCAACAATGACTGCGGCGTGGGGAAGGCCGCGCCGAAAGGTGGCGGGAACATGGCTGTGCCTGGTGACGGGTACGGCAACGGTGCGGTGCAAGACTGCGGCGGAAACAGGGACACCGCGCCGGCACCATAAGAACTAGTTTCCGAGTAGTGATAAGGCGCCGCGTCTATCGTGCACGGTGGATAAGGGATCGGAGGTACGCTCTTGTAAGGTGGTATAGCTGCGTGATCCTCCGCCGAGGACGCCGACGTGATGGACGAGGACGTGGAACGACGAGACGGCAACACCTGGCTCTCGGCCCAACGTGTGTCTGGACGAGCGCCATTGAGCTCGTTATAAGGAGAGCCACTTTGCGTATAGTCCTGTCTCATGTCCGACGAGATCTCATCCTTGTCCAGTACACGGTCCATCTCGCTGCCTTGGTCGTCCTCTGAGTTCGGCAAACCGATCAGGTGACGATTCACCATTTCCATGGGCGTAATCTCGTCCACGATCTGCCCCGGTATCCCGGTCACCTGCTGATCCATCATCGCGAGCGACTGCACCCGCGACTGATCGGCGTGCGCTTCCAAGTGTTGCACCCGTTCCATCGAGTGCGTCTGCTGCATCAGGTACTGATCTTGCATGTTGATGTTAAGCTGCAGGTGAACCAGGGCGTCGGGATTCGCCGTGTCCGGCATCACTGCGGCAATGTCGTTCGGGAACTGCGGGTGGGCGGCGTAGCGGTGGTTCTGGTTGTCCATCAGCGTGCTGAGATTATAGTTCTCCGGTGGACACGGTAAGCTCGGCGGCACCCACCTCTCGTCTGCGTCCGCGTCCATCTCTAGCTTCGCGCGCTCTACCACTGTCACTTTCGCCGTCTCACGCTCCTCGTTCCCGTACATGTAGTGTTCGCTATTATTGCTCGAGTAACAAGGCTTTCTCTTCTCCTCCATCGCGTGATTCTTGTTGCACCTGGCGAGATCATCTTCCGGCGACACTTCCATGGGCTCCCTAGTATCGCTCTTGATCTCGGCCGTGACAGGCGGCACGACGGCCGAAGGCACGACCGGTTGTTCTTCCACCGGCTGCTCTAATACCTCCACTTTCTCCTGGAGCAATGGCTGCTGCTGTGGCTGTTGCGACGACTGCTGCTCCAACGCAGACTTCTCCGCAGGCAGTGCCTCCTCCTTCTTCAGCTCTTCCTCCGCTGGAACAGATTCCAACTCGAACTGACTAGAATTCGACTTCTTCGATAGTTCCATACGGAGTTTCTCCACCAAATGCAGAGTCTCACGCGCGCTGTCTTCCTTCGAGTCTTCCTTGAACCAGAGCTCATTGTTGAACGAGAACGTTAGCGGCGCCGCGCGCTCCTCGTCGCGCGGTATGCTAATACCGTCGTCGTTCACCAAGTCATCCGTCAATATGTCGTGGTCAAAGTCGAACAGCTCCGATACACTCGGATCCTTGCCGCCGTGATGTTGCGGTGAGAAGATGGAACGATTGACAGACTTTCTCCTCTTCTGACACTCCTTCTCGGGCGCATCAGCAACTATGGCTTTGTCTGGTGCTGATTTTGTGCAGACGTTATCGTCAGAATCCTTAGCAACGTCCACTCCGACCGCCTCGACAGTTTGCACCACCTCACTAACGTTCTCCATCTTCTGATCGATCTTCTTCTTTCGATCCGCAGGCTTCTCTAATACGATTTCGATGTCCTTCTTTACTACATCCTCCTTTTCAACTTTCGCGGTGTCCAACGCTGCCGCTTGCTCGCTCATGTGATTTTTCACCTCTTCGTTCTTGATAGTCTCCTTTATAATGGGTTTCTCCGGCGCCATAACGCTGTCTTCCTGGCTCTCCTCGATGGACGAAGATTTCTCCAGCTTCATCTCCTGACTGACCGTTCTGTTACGAGACAGTTTGTCGAGGTGCTCGCGTTTCTCGAGCAGTTTGTCCAATCCCCTGGACGATTTCTTCGGGGCGTCGCGTTCCGCGCGTCGCTGCTTCATCTCCTCCTCCAGTGTATTGATCGCGTTTCTGTGGCTCGTTTTCTTGATTTTCTTGTCATCCGCCTTGGTTATGTTCTCGGTCGCTTTTGGAGGTTCCACCGTTTCCGGCACGCTCTTACTACTGACTTCGTACTTGCTGTCCTTCTCGGTCTCCTTGTTCATCCTCTCGCTCAGTTTCTTCTCCACTTTCTTGAGCGGTACCGACTCCTTAATGATCTTCTCGTCCTTCGCGACGGTCTCGCTTGATTTTCGTTTACGAGTCTCCGACTTCGCTCTGGACCCTGCACCGCTGTCCTCCTTGCTTCGGGAAGTAGACTGCTGTGCCTGTTTAACAAGCTGACCGGATTTCTTGGTAGACTTGGCCCCAGATATACCTCGTAACCCATCATTATCTCGAGACCCACCGAGCATACTTTGGTCAGTTGTTTGTTGTGGTTGCATGGACTTTTTGGACGAATCTCTTTGATCTGCTTTCTTACCGAGTGACTGCTGCTGCTGTTGGTGGTGGTGATGTTGGTGGTGTTGGTGTTGTTGTTGTTGCTGTTGCTGTTGTTGTTGATGGTGGTGGTGGTGTTGCTGGTGTTGTTGTTGTTGCAATTCTTTAGGAACAGTGGTTCGACCTGATTCTTCTCTCTCAGTAAGCGGCGGCTGAAACTCTGGTCCATGCCGCCCGTCGGAAGTTTTAAGCTTCTTATCGGGCAGCTTCTTGAGTTTCCGCCCCGCGAGAGACTTCTCCGTTTCATTGTCTTCGTGTACGACTTTATTCACTTGCCGTTTGTTTACGGTTCTGCTCTTCACCTCCTTCAGCTGGTTACCAGTATCACTCTCGGAGGATGTCGTGGTCGTCGAGGAAGAGATCGACTCCTTCTTAGCGATCGACGTTTTCTGCAGCGGACTCTTTGCCACATCCGAGTCGCTACTGCTTTCCGAAGAGCTGCTGCAACTACTGCTGCTGCTGCTCTCGCTGTTGCTCGTCAACACGGATGACGCACTCTTGCTGCTTTCGGGCACCGGTTTCTTCCCTTTCCTCTCTTTCAGCGGCTCCTCCTTTCTCGGCAATTCCTCTTTCTTCGGCGATTCCTCCTTCTTAACCTCTTTCTTCTTGCCGCCATCCAGCAATTCCTTCTTTGGTTTCACGTCCGCGGTCTCCAGATCCGGCTGAGTAGTTTTCGTGCCCATGCCGCTCTTGATGTGCTCCGCGGCCTTCTTCGCAGCCTGCCGTTGCGGGACGTAAGCCAGGATTTCAGTACCATCGCCAAAATCTTTATCAAAGTCATAGACATCGTTATTCTTGACGTCCTTCGGCGTCTTACTGTCACGTTGTTTCTTGCTGGACGGTTTCTCCTTGGTCGTCGAAGGTTTCGCCGGTTTGCTAGATTCCTCGCCGGGTGACTTGACGAACTCCACGGACTCGGTTGCAGTGTTCTCCTTTTTACATTGAGTACGCTGCATTATCTCCGACGCTTTCTTCGCTGCCTGTCGTTGTGGCACTATCAGAGCTGATGGTATGTACTCTTTCTTCTTGGAGCCCTTTGCATTCTCCTTGGTCTTCGTGGGCTCTTCCGTGTGATGATACTCTTGTCTAGCTGCGTCCTTACACGTGAAGTTCTTCTGGGAGGAATTCTTCGATATTTCCGCTGCTGAGAACTCCTTCACCGCGGCTTTCGTGATGAGCACGGCCGAATGGGAGGAGTGATGCTCCAGCGAGTCCGAATCGGTGTCCGAGTAGATGGCGGAGGCCACGGACGGCCCGAGACGAGAAGCGGCGTTAGTGCTCAACGGCAGTAATTCGTCGCTCTCGCTTCCAGTTGCGCTACCGAGCTCCTTCTCCATATGCTGCAGAGTACGCGATCTGCTATTGACTGTGTCCAGTTTGTCGCTCTCGCTGCTGTCTCGCAACGTTTTGGGTCGTGGCCTGTCCGGCGCGCTGGCCTTCTTCGACTTTCGTCTGGCGGGTGTTTTGCTCTTCGTCACGTTCGTTTCATCCTCCGAGCTCGATACAATCTCGATCTTCACGTTGGAAGTGGGCTTGGACTTACTCGTACACTTGCTGGTCGTCTTTGTGGGTTTTGTCACTTCGGTTTCGCTGCTACTTATGGACAAGTCGCTACCGTACAAGCTCTTTCTCCTCACAGAGCCATTGAAGTATAGCTTCTTGCTAGATGCGCCGTTGAAGTCCGGCTGCACCTTCTTCTCGTCGCTTGATACCGGTGTGGGCGACTTGACGCCCGCGATTCGAGCAACTATTGTTTCGAAGTCATGAGTGTGATCCTCGGAATCGGGATGGGAATAGAGACGATCATATATTGAAGGTCCATGATTCGCTTCCGCGACTGCGGCGGCCGCTGCCGGTGGTAGCAGCGGTCCAGAAAGTAGCAAAGCCTGCTTGTGAAAAGTCTGCTCGCGTAGTCGCAGGAACGAGCGACAGAGTTTCTCGCGACGACCCACCATGTAGCACAAGTTGCGTACTCGTTCGAGATCCTGTCGCAATTGCACGAAGGTGCGCATTTTCTCCAAGTCCGCTGCTTGACCCTGAGCGCGTGCCCCTGCGCTCGACAATTCGCCGCAGCGAGGAGCTAACAGTGGTTTGTTATGGCCGGCCTAAAATGTCATGCGCACCGATTGCAGAGCGGTTACCGGTATGTGTACAGATTTGCCGAAATTTAAGAATAAATACAGCGCGATAATTAAACACAATAATTTTCAATTAGCAAATTCATAATCAACGACTTACCCTTCTCTTCAGCTTCCAGTAGTTATAAATGTACACAATGCTATCGGGATCTATGTCCAATTGCTGGGAGGTAATATCCTTTAAACTAACATGCTTATCAAATTCCGCTTCGATTTCCTGCAACCTGACGTAAAAATAACAGTGATTACCTCACATATAACACGGTTTCAGAATATAGCAGATTCAAATTTTTTGTAAAAAAACAGAAACCACACAAAATATACTGTCTAATGACACAAGAGCAAATGTTTCAGCTAGAACATTTTTTTGTCCAAATATAGATCACATTTACTTCTCATATGACACAGCTTCAAAATGTTAGCAGAAATTAAACATTTTATAAAACGGGAACAAAATGTGCTGCCAGATAATACAAGAAAAAATGTATCTCTCTCTTTCTCTCTCTCTCTCTCTCCATACATATATATATATATATATATATATATATATATATATATATATATATAT